GGACTGCACCTTAACTGCTTATTAGTTGTACCAGCACAAAGGCAAGTGTGGATTTGGTTAGAAGGTAGAAAGTCGGTGCTCAGCAGCACAGCATGCTCCTCTTCCCCTAATAAGTGCATTTTTGTCAACGAGGCTGCTTTCTGCACTCAGGGAGTTAATGCTGCTCCACTTTGGGGCATAAATATGGCTTAAAGGCCCTGAGTGCCTCACGTGGAGACTTCAGCTGGGGCAAACCACAGCGGCCGTCAGATTTGGTTCTCTGCAGTACTCGCAGTGACACAGATGAGGACCGGAGAAGGGACTTGTTGTGGAAAAACTCTGCAAATCCTCTGTGCTGCTCTTCCTCGGATACTGCAATGGAGCCAGGCTGCTGCCTCCAGCATGGGTTATGGACTGGGGGTGCTCAGCTTCTGGGAGCTTTCCAGCACAACACCTCCCCAAATTAGCTCAGGACCAAACCCCACGGCCACCAGGCTTCTCCCCCAGGTTTGTCTCAAGAGGCATATCCATGATAAGTAACGTGTTCTTCAAACATGCATGGGAGCACTCTTATAATTAATGCAGTCTTAATTCCATCCAGCATAATTCATATCAGAGTTTAATACAGTTTTGCAAATCCTTCGGAAATTCTGACTTTTGCTTAATTCATATTAATTTACCAGAGAGCCCCTGCATGGACAAGCCTTCAGAGAAGCCTGGCAGCAGCTGAGGTTTGGCAAGTTTTACTCACAGGGATAAAGTGGTTGGAGTTGGCCAAGAGGGGTTTTGTTTACCCTCTTTCATGCCACAGTGCATGCTCCTGGCTAAGTGCTGGGCAAGCAACAGTACAGCTGCATGCGATCCCTGCCAGCCTCCCCATCCTCACATCCAGTCCCCATTAAAGTATCAGCCCCCACCTGAGATAACTGGGTTGTTTGGCTGCCCAAAACCCTCAGAGCAGCTGGAGTATGGGAAGTGATGCTGCGCTCTCAGCACGGCGAGCCAATCCGCCCGACAAAGCCACCGCGCTCCGAGGGGACAAAGCTGCCATAAAACCCAGTCTGCATCCTGCCAGAGGGGATTTCATGGAGAGATGCTGCAGGTCCCAGCCCAGAAACAATGGCATCTCCAAAGAAACAAGCCCCTGTGCAGCGCAGGGTTTCTTTTCCCAAGGCTCACCTCTCCCAGGTCTGTGAGATGATCGGTGATACCTTTACAGCTTTACGGAGTGCCTTTAATTAACAGCCCGGCAAGGCTCTGTAAGTCTGTGTTAGCACAGCACTGTGCATCCTAACAAAATAGCCCGAGAGCCCATAAACACATCTCTTCCCATCAGCTTGCCAGCTTATAGCAGCTGGAATTAAACTGATGCCAACATGATGACTCCGAGATCATTAAAGCTTTCCCGGACAAAAGGACTATATCTCAAGGGTCTACTTGCCATAAACAAGCTGGGTGAAAACAGCAGGAAATATTGAGGAATAATATCCTTGTGAACAAAGTCCTGCTCTGCTGAAATGTGCTGGAGGGAATTGGGGTAGATAGCTGAGCTCGTTCTCCATGGGGCTGTAAACCAACACAACCTGAGCTTGGGGCTGGGGCGGCGATGTTTGGAGATAGGCTCAACACCTGCAACTTCCAGTGGTTTTTGGAGAAAAAAAAAAATCACACACACAAAAAAAGCTTCTGCAGGTGCACATGACTCTGGAAACACCATGGCATCCTGACTTAGCTGGTGCTTATACCGAGGCAATGGTGGGAGGCCCACATGAAGTTAGTAGCAGAGGGGGAGCAGAAGCCAGGACAGTGGCTCCTCAGCATCCTAGGACCTTCCAGAGCTACCAGGTGCTCAGATCAAGGCACAAAACCCCATGGATGTGATATGCATTAGCATCATTGCTTTCCAAAGTGAAATTCAGAGTACATTTCTTCATATTGGGTCCCTGAGTGGGTGGGGATAGGACCAAGGTGCTCAGAGGTTAAGTTGCTTGGAATGAAGCTGGAAGAGATATAAAAAATTGGAAGGAAGTCCCAGATTTCGACACCATATCCAATGTACATTTTATTTGTCACATCAAGTGTTCTGCTCCTGTTGGGTTGCTGATCCACTTTGAAATGTTGTTTGCTTTCTTCAAGAAGGCTGAATCCTAAATGACAAATGTAATCACAAAACATAATGTGAAAAAAAAATCATTTTGAAAACACAAAACAAATGTAATTTTTGGATCTTGTCCAGCATTTTCATCTGCCAAAACAGTTGAATCCATCCTGATGTGAATCCAATGAAGAGTTCCCATCACTCATGCCAGCTTTTGGGAGAGGCTTTTGGTAAGCAAATTACAGATTGATGTCTGCTGCATCTACCATGCCCTGCCTGAGAACTCCTGAAACTGGGAAAAAGTCTTTGTATTCAAAACTCAACAAATGTTGTTCTCAGTCAGCTACGGTTATGCCTGTAAGTCGGATGTGCCTGTAAGTCCCCACAGGGATTTAGGTTTTCCTACATTGTCCTTGACTACTCCCCAACTTCAACACCTCTTTTAAGATGGAGAAATACTCTCTCTGGAGGTGCTGTTGAACCATGCATCCCAGTAGCTGTCTATATGGCAGACTACCCAGCTTCTTCATGCCCTGAACCACTTGGGTACATGGCAGCACCACACAAGTGCTGCTATGGAGGCATTTTCCTAATGGCTTGGCTAATTCTGCAGTGCCCAGCACATGAAGGACCTTCCTGCTTCCTCCACGGCTCCAAAGAGTGAATTAAACGATACGATGAAACATATTACATTTGCATCTGGCTCAAAGGGAACATAACAGCATTAGGCAGCCCTGGTGCTCATTAAACGCCTCTGACTAGAAGGATGTAATGAACCAGTTTTATTACAATAGTAATTTCTTCCTATCACATTTGGTGGTTATATATTCATGGGGGATGCGGGGAAGGGAGGTAGATCAGTACAGACTGGTGCATTAAGATATATTGCATGTGGAAAAGTTGACACCAGAGCGTGTGGCTGACAGATAGGAGAGAGGCAAGCAGACAGCAGAATATCCCCAAGTCCATTATAACGCCATCAAACTGACCTTTACAAAATATATATGAGAACAATAAAAAGGGACCTTCCTGGCTTTGGATGCAGCAGTGGCACTGAAGGTGGTTTAATGCCCTGTGTGCTCCTCATCTCCCAGCACCTCGGTGTCCTGGCTGCACATCTGGACCTGACTGGCTGGGGGGCTGCACATCCCACGGGGTGTTCGGACATTGCAGATCTCCTGGATGCTGCAGGACCATGTGGGAAGAGCCAGCAGCATGGCACCCATCCTGCCAGGAGCTGTGGCACGGAGTGCTGCAGGCATGGGATGCTGCAAGCACAGATGGAGGCACTCACGGCTCTCCCCTCCAAGTCCCAGCTGTAACCAAGGTAAGTTTTCTAAATTTGTACAAAGAGAAAATCCATGATTAATAGCAGCTTTAATAAATGGCTAATCAATTTATATAGGTTGCTATAGAGTCCAATAAATCAAAACCAGGTTGCTTATAACCATGGCTTATAGCCATCTTATAATACCTTCCACTGATGTGCTTATAATAATCTGTAACATCCGCTACTGCTGTCGGTAACTCATTTAAAACACCCGTTAGTATTTTTGTAACCTGCTAAAAGCACAGGGTGAGTAAATATTCCTCAATACCTGTAAGCCACGTGACCTTTCATGGTTGCAAATTTGGGGCCAAATCAATGACCATCAGAGGCGAGGAAGGACTGCTGTGGCCTGCAAAAGGATCTGGAAACATGCTATAATCACAGGAAAGGTGACACTGAGACAGACTCAAGTCCTTTCTTGTCTGAGAGGCCAGAAGAGGATGCCTGCGAGGAAGGGCATTGGAAAGAGGGCAGCCGGATCGCCCTGCTCCATCTCTTCACCTTGCAGCAATTACAGGGCTGGCTTTTGCAGGGAGCTGAAGGTTGTATTCAGGTCCTCGAGGCCAACAGTCGTGGGTGCATTTATCCCTCGTGAAGGTGCCTTACCCCTGCTTTTGCAGGATTGCAGAGTGGTTGAGCCTGGAGCCCGGCTGCTCCAGCCCCCACTCAAGCAGAGCCACCTTGCTTTAGGTAATTAAAGCGTCACCCTTTCATCTAGTTTGCCTCTGACCCTGCAGCAATACATTCCATTTTGTAATCACAGAGCACGGGAAAAGCACAATTAAGTTAACATTTATCCGACTAGACACATACAGACACACGGAAATGTCTTTCTCAGAACCCAGATTTGGCCACGAGCGCTGGGAGCAGTGGCATTTTGCAGCCCAGCCACTGCAGCTGGGTGCAGCTGCCCCTGGAAAGCCTGGGGCTGTGTGCCCAGCCTGCCAGGACAGCCCTTTTCCAAGGAAAAAATAGGAGCTTAGCATCAAATTCAGCCCTAAGAGGACCCACACCAGAATTTCTGCTCTTCTCCAGCACCTCTGTTTTCAAAGCCCTCATGAATAATGAGAAATTAAAAAACCTGTGAGCCTGGGTGTTTTAAGATCCCACAGCCAGTAGGTTTTGCTTTTTTGCTATTCCAACATATATATATATTTTTTTTCTTTCTGATTTGACTCATGCAACTCTTTGGAAGAAGCCCCATCTGCTAAATATAGCCTGGAACCTGTAGCTGCCTGGAAAGAGGAGTGTGGTGATTTCTGAAAAACTCAAGCCTATAAAAGCTGACACACAGCCCCTCACACTCTGTAAAAACCATCTCCTGGTGGATTTATTAGTCTTAAGCAACAGCAGTTGGTCTGAAAAGAAAATGTATTTAACCTTTCTTTTTAATTGTCGCACTGTTAACCTGTCAGTTCTACACGGGGCTGTTAATAATTCCGCTTTAAACGTCTCAAAAGGAACTTTCATGTTTAAATATTAAACATTAAAACTTGGGTACAGTTAGAAAAGAATTGATACAGCACTTTTGGTAGTAATGTGGCTCAATCCAAAGTCTGCTGGAGTGCCTGGGAATTGTCACGCTGAATTAAACAGGCCCAGACATGGGGTAGGCTGCAAATCCAGATCCTGGGGGCAAACCCTGGGAGCTTTAAGCAGGGTGAATAATAGGGGCTTAGCCTCAGAAAGGATCAAGTTGTACCTTTAGAGCTGGCCTTCATCTGCACCTTAAGGTAAGATGCTCATTGAGGGGGAGAGAATTAATTAATTGGGCTCAGCTAACGAAGTTTTAACTAGCTGCAGCAAAGTAGAAGTGAAAGCACAAAGTAACAGGGCTCTAAAGGAGGTTTTAGCTTGGAATCAGCTCCAAGTTTCTTCACAGCCATGTGTCATGCATTAAAGGCCATATTGTTTTTGTCTTCACTCTGATTTTAATTTTTTTTTTCTTTCAAGTATGTTTTGAGATCTACCCTGACTCATTCCAGCTTGTTTTCGCGTCAGCGGGCAGTGCCAGCATGGGTAGGAGGGGACAGGAACCTTCACAGCCTGCTTCGAGAAGGGTGGAGCAGCCGTACAGGATCCACCAAACCTCTCGGATGGCCACAGGCACAGAGGTGCTGCCTGCAACACCCCAGCAATGCCCTACAGCCTGGTGGGTCAGACCTTAGGCATAAATCCCTCCATAGGCTCAAATTGCAGCCAAGGAGGGGATTTAGGCTCCTACTGGGTCACTGCCAGAGCTGCCTGTGTCCCGAGCTTCCCCCTCGCTGACACTGGGGGCTGAGGCTTTCGAGGTCTCCTTGTGGGCAGTCCCCCCTTAGAAGGATTAAGCATTAACAGGGCGGGAGAGATGGAGCGTGTAACTTGGGCACCGGCTGGGAAAACAGGGTTACGGCTCCTTAAACCCAGGCGTATCACATGTCATTCGCTCTCTTTTCTTTTTGCAGGCAGGGGTGGAAAGGTTAATGAGCTCACCCAGGGCTGTGATGAGCTTTGTTGGCAAGAGGAGAGCCTCCAAAAGCCTGGGGTGAGTGCTCCGATGCAGGGTGGTCCCTCGGCCCCTCTTGACCCAGCGGTGAAGAGCCCGCAGGAGCTCAGGCTTGTCCCTCTGTCCTCTGCTGCATAGCTTGGGTCTGGCTCTAACAGCAAAATGATGGCTGCAATCCTGTGCCCTGAAAAACCAAAGGGATTTTCCAGGACTGGGAAACTCCCTGGGACAGTAGTAATGGCAGGGACAGAGCTTTTCAGCGAGATGCGCATAGCAGGAACCAGCCATGCAGGGAAGGCAGGTCTGCAGTGTTGTTGCTGCACCACGGGGAGGTGTGACATGTGGGCGTAGCCTTAATTCACCCCGTTTCCACCCCGATGTGCTGCGAGCTGGGAACAGCAGGGAGCTGGGTGCGTGGTGTCTGCGTGGTGAAGGGGCACGGCGAGGTGTTACAAACGCCGCCTTCCCTTCCCTTCTCTTCCCTGCTGGCTGCCTGCTCTAAGGGCTTTAAGAAGCAGGGTCGATGCAAGCCCCCGGTTCTGATTCCCACCGCGGTGCTGCTGGTGCTTACGTGCATTTGGGCAGAGACCTTGCTTCATCCCTCCACCCTACTGCAGCTTTTTTGCTTGCTGTAGCCAGCTTGTGAGCATCTTTGCACTTGCAGAGCTGCCTTCACACCCCAGTCTTGAGCTGCTGGTCCAGTTTATGCTTTACTGTTGCAAGCAGGGGTTGGAGAAGTCCATGGTGGCTGTGTGATGGCTCTGCCTTGGTGGCATCTCCCTGCTTCCCTTGGCAATAAGGGGACAGCTGCTGCCTCAGTGCCCTCTGCCAGGTGAGCCCTACTGAGACCAGGGACAAATTCCCTGAGACTCCCTGAGTCTGGCCAGGACATCGTGGACCACTTGTACAGGTGGGAGAAGGCTGATAGCCACATCCATTTCACGTATTGGTCCTTTCAGTTGTGATGCTTTCAGCAACCTGGGACGCCGTGGGGCAAATTCAGTGGTGCTGGCTAAATTGGCATAATTCAGAGCCTCTCGGCTTCACTAAGGCTCCCTGGGCACTCTGTACACCCTGCCTGCTGATGCATAAAGCAACCTAAATAAGTGTAATTTATGCACCAAGGAAAAAGGTGCTACTTAAAAGACCTCCCAGCCTGAAATAACCTCTAAGTGAGGATAGGGAGAGTGAGGGGAGCCTTGGCTTAATGCCCCATAGAGCAGCATCTCCAAATTTGGCCCTGGGCCTCAAAGCTTTTAAAAAGAGAGAACAATTTCAGTTTGTAGGAGGTCATATGTGGTCTTGTGCACCTCTCCCCTACTTTGTTTGAGAGTCCTGGCCCAAGCAAGGCACATCTGAGCAAGCTCAGGAGCGAAGCTCTTGGGGAAGCAGCGCTGGCTGTCAGTGCTGAAGAAGCTGAATTTCCACCTGAATTCCCATCCTGTGTCTTTGCACCTCTGCAAAGCAGAGACAAAACAAGGCCCTTCCACTTGCTAACTGCTCCACACAAATGCACGTGCCCAGCGATGAAGCAGCAGCCCCTTCTGGCTGTTGAGCACACCCCAGCTCCCTGTCTTTTTCTCACTTTGACGCTCCCTTCATGAGCAGGACAGGCTGTTTTCCAACCAGGCAGCTCCTGCTGGATCAGAAACATGTGGTTTTATTGCCATCAATACTTTGCAGTGACCTGAATATTTCCAAACTTGTGTCATCCTGCCCGGCGCACACTTAGTGCTTAATTGTCGCTGGAGGCACTGCTAATATCGACACTCCGTGACCTGTCTGCAACCCAGGCCAGTCAATACGGCCGTGATGAACGGCTGGTATGGGAAGTGCCATTGCTGATGCCTGGCTGATAACATTATGTGCCTGTGACATGCGAATCAACCGCAGGGTAAGTGAGCTGAGTTAGAATATAATGAATAAATATCCCCGGGTTTGAGGAGGGGATACTGTCAAAGGCTTTCTAAAAATAGCTGGTAATTGGCTTTGTATTAGGCTTATTATTGCCTCTGATGGTCTCTCAGAAGTTTTGAAACTGCAGATTCCTCCCTCAGCACGTCCCTGTGCTCCAGAGCCATGCCCTCAAGGCACAGCACTGAGTCTCGTGGCTGCAGAAGCCCAGCAGAGGATAGCTGTATAGCTGTTAGCACTGGGCAATTCCCCACTCTGGGCAAGGTGCAAAAAAAAAACTCCTTAAAAAGGTCTCTGGAAGTGCTGTCCCCTAGTGTTTGGGCACTTGCTTGGTTCATCTCTGAAACAAACCTGGCTTTCTGTGCATGGAACAGATTTCAGTACAGGAGCAGCACTGCCCTGTTCCCTCCAGAGCAGGTTCTTTGGCTCCTGCACCTCCTGGAGAGGGGCTGCTCCTCACACCCCTTAGAGGTGCTGGGCATCTACGAGTGCACATGGTCCTTCCAAGATCATCCCATGAACAGGTCACTGCCTGTAAAATAATGCGTTGCTATTAACTGTCTAAGGGCAGTTTGCTGGGGCAAATCTCTGATGCCCGTTTACTGCTGTGGTAAAGGGGGAGAGGGGACAGCATCCCTTGCATCCCTGTCTGCCACCACAGCCATCCCTCTGCCTGCTGCATCGCTGCTGTGGTGCAAATGAGCATACGTGCTTACATCTGCACAAGGCTAACAGCCTGTTCTCATCTGGTGTCACCTCTTTGGCAGCCCCTCACAGGCTGATGGCACTGTCAGAGCTGATGCTGCTCCCTGGGAGCTTTCAGCCGTCCCCTCCTGCTCCATGGGTGAGCTCTGCTCCGCACAGACTCTGGGTGGACACGGCTCGGTGGGATTTGCCAGCTGCAGGCTGCAGATAGCAATCACAACCCTGTGGCTGAGTAGGGATGCTGTGAGGATGCTGCTAGGCAGTCACACTCAGATTTTTGTGTAGCCCCACAGAAAGACCAAGTCCTACCCTGTGCTTTCACGCAGAAGCTGCTTTTTTTTTTTTCTTTTATTTTTTTATTTTTTATTTTTTTTCTTAGAGTTGCTGTCAGCTTCTTCAGGATGTGCAGAGCTGAAGGGGGACTTGTAATGTAGTCTTCAGGGGCAGAGAAACCACATGAGCAGAGGCAGGAGGACCTCACAACAGCACACTTGGATCTGGGATAAAATCCCACTGGGAAGTTTCCAGCCTGTGCCAGGCTCCAGCAGAATCCCCTATGCATTCAGCCTCTTTAAGGTAAGTTGCATCTAAAAGACCCTTTATATAGCACAAGCCCTTAAGTTATCCACAGGCAGTATCCGAAAGGCATAAAATACATCAGAAATCACACCCAAAAATGTAACAGAGTGCTTGCTGTCTGTGGAAGAGGCTGGATGGGTGCAGCTTCTTGGACAGCGCTGGGCACACCAGCATCACGGGCTGGTTTGCAGCAGCAATGAGTTGTGGAGAAGCTCCCACAAACCAGCTTGGACCTCCTGGATGCCCCAGGCTGAGCAGCCTTTTCCAGCTCAGCCCAAACCACAAAGGCAGCCACGTCCCCGCCTCACCCCACCTGAAGCCACGCCGCTGTCTTCTGCTCTGTGATCAAACTCCCGCTGCCTTTGATGGGATTTAGATGAGGTGTTTTTTCTGCCACCTCCTGCATGAAAGCACACACGTATCTTTAAGCACATGTGGAGGAAAGCCTTGAGCGCTACAATTCACCCAAATCATCATGATTCCTTTTATTTTTACATTAAATGTTTTTGCTTTATGAAAGGAATAAAAGAACTATAACAACCACAACGAAATAAGAAAGTGAATGCCCAGAGGTAACTACAATATAAAATCATATTCATCATATCATAATATTTTACATTTGCTTGTTTTATGTGGATTAAAAACCCCTCAACACACAGTCTAGCAGCAGCAAGGAAAGCAGCAGGAGAGGAAGGGCAATGAGGGAAAAGCAAGGTGCAGGCCCAGAGGACTGGGACAGCAAGAAAATGTCTCTGGCTCAAACAAGCCAGAATTGAATTGAACTCAAAGTTTTGCACCAAATGGGTGGACCTACCTGCCCTTGGCCCCCTCCTTGGCCATGGCCACTTGTACAAATGTGCCTGCTCTACTTGCAACCAGCCACTTCATAGCATGAGCAATGTGGCCACGGCAGCAGGGCACGAGCTAAAGGCAGCGTCCCCCTCCAGTGCCGCCCTCCTGCAAGGCTGCCGACACCAGGTTGGGCGGCTGTTGAATTAAGGGGGAGAGAGTGGAACAAATGGCATGGGATGCAGGGCATTCTTCATCTCCTGAAAGGCATCAGACCAAGATTAAATGCCTTCCTAGAAGCTGTCTTTTAATAATGTGTGCTGGACGAGGTGCAGCAGTGGTGAGCCTTGCATTAAGTAGCCTCTTACGCAGGGGCTGGAGGAGATGCTTGGGTGGACTGAGCATCTCGGGTTGCAGCAGCTTTTATTTACCTGCCCCCTGATGCCTGGGGGGCAGCAGGGAAGCAGGTGTGGACACTCTCCATTGCCTGAGTGGGAAGTTTGGGTGCTCTGAGACAAAAATAAGCTGAAAAAAAGCTGAAAAATATCATCCAAATTCCTTCTGTTTGCCATTCAGCCCATATTTGGCTGGTAGAAGTTTGGCAATTTCCTTGGTAGTACCATCCCCATGTGTTGGCACAGGGGTTTGTCAGCCAAACGCCGAGCGCTGGGGCTCATCAGTGAAAACCAGCATTTGCTGGCTTCCCAGCAGCTCCCAAGGTGTCTTCTTCGAAAAGAACTGCTAAAATCCTAACTTCTTGTTTTTGAGCACCAGGGCATGTTTGCTTCTGAAAGGTCCTCACTGTCCTCGGTGTGGCAGCCGCGGAGGCAGGTTTGGTGCTTGGAGGACAGCACAGTCACTTCGAGTTCAAGAAAGCAACTCCCACCGACTGCAGGTCGCGTGTCTTCTGCATAAAATCCAACCTGACATTTGCTACCCTTCTTACAATGCTTTTAAATTTATTTCCAGATGCTTCCAAAGAACGTTTTAAATTATCCATATGCCATTTGTCACACGTGGCACACAGGCAGCGCACTGTCTTTGTGTTGTGTAGGGCAGGTCAGAACAATGCTTTGTGGGGTTTGTTTGTCTGAAATGAGTCTGGGTGGCAAAAATATATATATATATACATATATACATAAAAATCTGCTGCATGTTGATACCATTGTGCAACGTCTATAGCCAGAGCTTTTGCGATGACAGTTTGCAAACATGGTGCTAACATTAATTAATCATTAGATCCTTCCTGCTCTGCAAGCATGCATGTGAAACTGCAACATGAACTGCAAGCTGAAATGGGATAAATGATCTTCCAGTCCCCCAGTGAGGTCTCAACAAAATTAAACGCCCACATCTGACCGTGCAGGATGTGGTGGGCTGCTCTTCTCCCTCCCCCCCACATTTCACACATTTCAGAGAGAATAACAACACTTTGTTGCTCTTGGCCTTGCCCTTGCCCTTCTGTACTTTTATTTCTTTCTTTTCCACTGCACTATTACGATGAATTCCCAGCTCTGCAGATATAACAAACTGTGAAACTCCTCGTGGACCCAAACTCTCTCCCGAGTAATTAAGAGAAGACACTTTCCATCGCCAGCTACATCTCTTTTGTGTCTTACCAAACTGCTGGGACAAGAATTTCTTGTTTTCCATTGTCCTGGATTCAGCTGAGAGAGAGTTAATTTTCTTCATAGTCACTGGTGTGCTGCTGTATTTTGGATTTAGGAGAAAAATAATGCTGATAACACACTGATGCTGCAGTTGTTGCAGAGCAGTGCTTACACTAAGCCAAGCACCTTTCAGCTTTTCATACCTCCCTGCCAGCGAGGAGGCTGGGAGGGGACAGAACCAGGACAGCTGACCCCAAATGCCACAGGGATGTCCCATGCCATGTGGCATCGTGTGGGACAATAAAACTGGGGAGTTGGCTGGGGATGGAGGTGGTTTCAGGGTCTGGCTGGGCATCATTCGACAGGTGGTGAGCAATTACATTGTGCATCGCTTGCTTTATTATTATTATTATTATTATTATTATTATTATTATTATTATTATTATTATTATTATTATTATTATTATTATTATTATTATTACTATGCTTCCTTTCTTCTTTTTCCTATTAAAACTGTCTTTATCTCATCGCATCAGTGTTACCCTTTTCTGATTCTCTCCCCCATCCCACTGTGGGGGCAGCGAGCGGACGGTGCTTGGAGCTTCGCTGCCTGCTGAAACCACAACATCCACTTGGAGCACGTAATGACCTGGTGCTGGTCCTGGAGCCTTTCTGTGCCCCATATCTGCTGGATGATTGCAGCAGGGGTGCCACGTGCATGGTGGCTGGACTTAGGCTTTGCAGCTCCCCAGGGGCACCTCGCTAGCAGATTTATTTAATCTCTCCCTACAGTCCCTGGTCCCTGTCTGAGACACCACAAGGCCACCTTCGCGTCTCTAAATTCAGATCTCTCTACCTGTTTGCTTTGTGTAGCTCCACGTTACTCTACAAAATGAGCCCAGCATTTTCCCAAACCCTCCTGCTCCTGATCAAATTACTGCAGCCCTGGACCTCACGTGCTGGTCCTGTTTCACGCTCATTGCTCGGGGGCTTGGCTGCAGTGACTTCACTGATGACATATTTAGCACAGCTCTGTTTCCCTTTTCTGTCACAAAACTATGAAGATAAGGTTTCATTACCCGTGTGTTCACAATGCAATGAAACATTTACCTAAAACAAGCAGGGTGTTCAGAGGGAACGGCCCTGACAAAAAGCACAAATGAGCTCTGCTCGGTTTGCTGCCTCCTTTAACTCACTGGTACCTGGCAGCACAGAGCTCACTCCCTTGCGCTTTCTTAGGGGAATCAATCTGGCAATTAGACCATTCTTAAGGACAGAAAGGAAATGACATGTTGTGGATGAAAAGGCGGATATTTGGATTTGAGATCTGGCTCTAGCTCTGTGCTCAAGACGAATGAAAACATCTCCATGAGCATCCCTCTGTGGACACGCTGATGGGCACCCTATCCGCTGGGGATTTTGGCTTCTCCCCTGCTTTACAAACCTGCAGCAGGGTTTTGTGAAGCTATTTTAAACAGGCTAATTGCTTCTGGTGCTCTCCACCCTGTGAAAACAAGTGTGTTTAAGCTGCCAAGCCTTCTGGGTCACGTCTGTGTCTCCTAAGTGCTGGAGAGCGTCAGGGAATGCAGTTTTTCACCCGTGCTGCCCTGGCATCTCCCTGCTGACCGCTTCGCTCTGAATTCCAGCTGCCCTTGTCCTCTTGCCCAGCTGGGACCTCACTGAGCCACCGAGGGCCAATTTGCAAAAAGACAACTCAGCATCTCCACGCAGGTTTGCCTTGCTCAGAGTCACGGTGGTAGAAGGGCACCGTGTCCTTGCTCAGGGCAAAGCAGGGGACATCGGACTTTATCTGTCCCTGTCTGCCTGGTGCGTGACAGGGAGTTGCAGGGCTGAGCTTTGTGGGTCTCCAAGGCCCTAAGCAGTACTTTTCCCTGAGCATCCCCTTGTCCCTGAGGGCACCTTTTGGCAGATTTTGTGCCTTGTGCATCACGTAGGGTCCCACGTGGGACTGCTAAGTGCTGGCTCAAAAGGAAAGCCCATACAGAGCAATTCTGAGATGGAGGTGGGGAAAAAAAATCACTCTTCCTGACTTCAAACTGCTCTTTTCTATCCAAATGTGCCCAAACTCTTCCCAAAGCAAACTGACCAAGACAGACATACACACAACTTCCTTACCCTCCTCCAGCATGGCCAGCCCATCACTGACTGACTGCTGCTTTGCCAATTCAACACCCCAGCCACTACAAAGGGTTTCAGCCTTTTATCTTTTTAGGTCCAGTCCGTATTTTACTGCCCCTTTCCTGCCATCCAGCTGTGATCCACAGGAGCTCGAGGTGGGTCAGGGAGCGGCAAACCCACTGGTGTTTTAATCACGCCACGATTCGCCTGCCTGCTGCTCCTGTGGCAGAGTGGGCACGGCCACTGGGGGAGAGCAACAAAGAGCAAATAAAGGAGACAAAATGATATGCGGTAATTAAGTTATTCTTCATCTGGGAGATTGCTGCCGAGGACAAGATTGGTACAATGAGCCCGAGGCGCTTCTCCCTTCACTCCTCTCCGTCTCGGTGCCTGTGACATGGAAGATGAATATGCAGCATTTTCTATTTGTGCTACTAAAACGCCCATTAAATGCCAGCAGGGAAAAACGATACATAAATACCAGAATTCTGCTACCCTCTGTGCCTGAGAGAGAGACAGAGAGAGAGAGGGCATGCATCCTCCTTCGTCTGGAGGAGAGAGCTGCTTGTGGATGGGGAAGGGGCTGACGGGGTCTGGTGGTGGGCAGTGAGGTCCTGTGCTTTGCCAAAAGACAAGGAGGTGCCAGCTGGATTTTTATTCTGCAAACCTGGTAACTTAGTCACTTATCACATTTCTGAATGGCATTTTCCAATCAGGAGGTGATGGTAAAGGATTTACCTTTACTTTTAATACCCTCCTGCCTGGTAAAGGATTTACCTTTATTTTTAATGCCCTCCTGCCCCGTGATCTCTTTCAAGAGCAGATGTAAATGTTACAGGTCTCGATAGCCTGAGCTCAGGTAGCCTTTAGCTGGAGAGCAGCAAAATGTGTGTGTCTTTCTGTGCTTACATCACTGCAAAAGGCTCCCCGTGATGGATGGGATCATGTGGATGTTGTGGTCCCCCAGGTGGGACAAGCGAACGTCTCCTCCGGCTGCCATCGAGGAGGGGCTGCCCCTGGTGCTGGCACAGCTCTGCTCCCGAGCCAGAATCCCAGGTGGCTGCTGGGGAAAAGAGCAAACAAATCCATAAACAAACAAATACATAAAAGCCTGGGGTTGCTCAGTGCTTTGAAGTGGGGCCAGGACAAGCAGCTCTCACCTAGATAACACGAGACAGATCCTCACAGGGTCGGCAATGTCCCAGGAACCCCCCAGCCCTTCGTGCACCCCGTTGGGTGCACAGCCTGGGCTGCCACCCCTCGCCCCCCGACCCCTTATTGTCCCATTTCAGCCCGCGGGTGTTTTGCAGCAGGCAGGAGCTCGTCTCCAGCGCTGGGGCCAGTATCTCCAGCCTCACACCTTGCAGGCTGTGTGGGTTGCCAGCCGACACTCATTTCCATCCGCAGCAATCTTGGCAATATCTAAATAAAGAGAGCTGCCGGTGAGAGCTCCTGAGGAAGCCGTTGTGGAGCAGATAAGCAGGGACTCTGTTGCCGATGCGTAATGCCAGGTTTCAAGCAACGGG